TTTATTTTTGACATAGAATTTAATGCCACTCCATGTCCGATGTCTAAGGTCATCTGGTGAGGCATTAATGCAGGCCAGGCAGTGAGACTTCCCAGGGACCTTTCCAGTCTGTATGAAAGGTGTCATGGTCTTCTCCACAGCCTTCACCTCAGATGCAGACCATGGCTTTCTTACACGTTCTAGGGAGAGAAATAAAAATATATTAGCAATATACACTCCCAGGGTTAGGACCAAGCAGCCTGGCTGTAATCCCCCACCTGGTACACTTACCAGAAGGGGCACTGCCACTACCACGGGGTGCATCTGGATGAATGGTTGAAGGTTCTCCGCTTGAAGTTTCTTTTAGCCCGTCCGTTTGTGAGAGGATCTCTACTGCTCTCCCTGTCGCACAGAAAATAAAAATACAAGTGGCCTTTAGGGGAAAAAAATTATACATATTTTAATAATATCAAGAATTACCTTCAGGCTCAATTTGTATCTGGTCGAGGCTCTTTCCTTCGAATTCCGTCACTCTTCCCTGCTCCATGGCCATCAACACTTTGCTGATTTTGGCCAGCTCCAGTGTCCCCTCTGGTAGTCTGTAATATTGCCTGTGGATGCGAATGTCATGGCCGAGGAAGTTGGCAAGTATGTCCATCTCATTCTCTTTCATATTGAGAACTGTAGACATAGTAGCTATGTGCTTTCTAAGTTTGGTTGAGGATAGCATCTCTGGATGCACCGCACCACATTCTTTGGCTACCTGGCGTAGGGAGTCTGATCCCCTGATGTGGGTGTCTGCGCCCGGGCGGGAAAAGAAGTATGGGTTATGGTCAGAGATGGAACAGGCCCTTCTGTTCTCCACCAGCACCTCCATCGAAGCAATCATTTCAGGAGTCAAAAGAACCGGCACTTTCCGACTTCTTTTCCCTTTAATTTCAATGCGTTGAAAATGCTGACACAGCTTTTTCTCAAGTTGGGACAGTCCCAGAGCAATGTCAGAATGGATCCCAGTCTTACTTCTTAAGGTAAAGGCTGTCAGTGGCATCTTTGAAACCTCACCTTCCCTTCTTCGATTGAAAATAATGACCTCACAAAGAGTCAAAACTGCCAGTTTAGACCAATGCTTAGACGTTGGCTCACTTATTAGGGTTTGCACATATTCAGGTCGACATACCTCAATATGTGCATGCATGGCTCTAACGTCCTCAGTCAGAGGGAGCAGGTCCGGAGTGTTCCACTTGGCTTGCCGGAGGGTCTGTAGGGCAGCAGAAGAAACACAGACGTCCCACCTCTTCTCAAAAAGCAGCCGGCTTCGTTGGAGGTTTTTAATAAATAGTTCATCAACACAATGCTCCATTTTTGAGTCACATTCAAGAATATCTGCTAGCTTTCTGAGGCTATGGCCGAGTTTGAGGGCCAAGGATGGAGTCTTGTATTGATTTGTTTCCTCATCATATCCAGCCACAGACCTGACTGCATCAATCACATGGTTAAAGTTGGAAGGAATAAAGAAATCCTTAATTGTTTTCAGTTTCCCTGCGGTTTTTGCTTCGTTAATTAACCTACCGACTTCTCTCATTTTCTGCCTAATGTAATCATGCTTAGTCTTATCATGCCCGTGTTTTAAGTACAGGTGCTCTCCGAGTCTCAGAATCCCCTTTTCTGCTTTGACAACACCCGTGACCTCATCCTGATGCATTGCCCAAATTAAAGACCACAGCTTTTTGCTGATGCCCTCCGGTACAGGCTGGGCTAGGGAGCAGAGGGACTGGACCCTACTTCTACCTGGTTTAGCCTGGTTTAGCCTGGGCATCTTTCTGTGAAAGCCGGCACCTGGCCACATGCCTCCACAGCCACTTTCGCTTAAGCAATGCCCCACAGTCTATACAGTGCAAAAACTCACTGGATTTAACTGGGGAATTTGGCTGTTTAGCTGGGACTAAAGTTCCAAAGCCGGCCTTTAAAACCTCAAAATTGTGCTCACGGTTTCCACTATTCCTGATCAAATCAAACTGAAGTTTACGTGCTTTAGATTTCACAGGTAGAGCCAATGCTCTGGCTACGTCACTTTCATTTCCATGTTTTCTAGTCAAATGACGGGACATTTTGTGGCAGGACATTGAACAGTAGAGGCAGAAGTGTCTCTTGCTGTAAACTCGCCCCCCATTTTTCTTCTTTTGCAGCTGCATGATAACAATCTTATTTGCCTTTGGTTCGTCACTTTCCGAGTCTTGAAGAAAAGTGTTTTTGATTTTTCTTTTTCCATACTTTTTTACAGGTTTCTTCTTGACAGTTAAATCGTCAGAATCTGAGTCGACTTCATCAATTAGGGACTCTTGACTAAGCTGCACAAACAACAAATAATTTGTAATCATTCTATATAACAATTTGAAGTCATGACTTGTAGTCAGCACTTACCAGTGGTTTGTAAGCGTGCGCTTCAGTGTGCTGCCTCCATGATTTCTTGCAGCCTAATGAACCACACACTTGCACCTTTTCTAGCCTGACACCTGATTTCCTCTGTTGTGCTGCTCCATGATTGGCTCCAGCCTGCTGGACTGAAATTGCCCCAGTGTGCCCCTCCTTGATATCCCGCAACCCACCACCAGGGTTCCGACACATAACACACTTTTTTCAGGAAAGTAAACCTCCAGGGGTCCTTTCCATATTTTTACAGAGACTGCATAAGGACCGTTAGAAAAGCATTACCCATTGATTATTAAGCTTGGACCAGTGGGGTCCGGTGTTCGGGCCCCACCACGTAAAACCAGTCCCCATGACGTGAGTGGAATCTCAGGTTATGGAACCCACCAGGAGTTGAAAACAAGTGCACACACACATACACACACACACACATACACACACACATACACACACGCACACACACACGCACACACACTGATTGTTGTGTGTGTCTATAATAATAAACAGTGATTAGAGCTAGTATTCAGAGTGTGTTTCTGTGGTTTTGTGTTGACTCAAAAGTCCAGGATCAACAAAAGAGTGAAACAGAAAGTATAAAGTATGTTTTTATCGTTTAATTGTTAACAGAATTATGAAATGACCACACCCATAAACGTCGGCTCTGAACAATAAAAGGAACACATTCAGAGACTTCCAAATCCTGAAAATCCCTTGTCTTTTCCCCGTTTCATTTGTGCCAAACTTCCTGAGTGTGTTTGTCCCTGGACTCTGTGACTCATCTTTGTGTGTGAGTAACGGGACCAGACCAGGACCACACCAAGACTAGACCAGGACCATACCAGGACCAGGACCATACCAGGACCAGGATCAGACCAGGATCAGACCAGGACCAGGACCAGGACCAGACCAGGATCAGACCAGGACCAGGACCAGGACCAGACCAAGACCAGGACCAGACCAGGACCAGACCAGGATCAGACCAGGACCAGGACCAGGACCAGACCAAGACCAGGACCAGACCAGGACCAGACCAGGACCAGACCAGGATCAGACCAGAACCAGGATCAGACCAGAACCAGGAACAGACCAGGATCAGACCAGGACCAGGACCAGACCAGGATCAGACCAGGACCAGACCAGGACCAGACCAGGACCAGACCAGGACCAGACCAGGATCAGACCAGAACCAGGATCAGGACCAGACCAGGACCAGACCAGGATCAGACCAGGACCAGGACCAGGACCAGACCAAGACCAGGACCAGACCAGGACCAGACCAGGACCAGACCAGGATCAGACCAGAACCAGGATCAGGATCAGACCAGAACCAGGAACAGACCAGGATCAGACCAGGACCAGGACCAGACCAGGATCAGACCAGGACCAGGACCAGGACCAGACCAAGACCAGGACCAGACCAGGACCAGACCAGGATCAGACCAGGACCAGGACCAGGACCAGACCAAGACCAGGACCAGACCAGGACCAGACCAGGACCAGACCAGGATCAGACCAGAACCAGGATCAGGATCAGACCAGAACCAGGAACAGACCAGGATCAGACCAGGACCAGGACCAGACCAGGATCAGACCAGGACCAGACCAGGACCAGACCAGGACCAGACCAGGACCAGACCAGGATCAGACCAGAACCAGGATCAGGATCAGACCAGAACCAGGAACAGACCAGGATCAGACCAGGACCAGGACCAGACCAGGATCAGACCAGGACCAGGACCAGGACCAGACCAGGACCAGACCAGGACCAGATCAGACCAGGACCAGACCAGGACCAGGACCAGGACCAGACCAAGACCAGGACCAGACCAGGACCAGACCAGGACCAGACCAGGATCAGACCAGAACCAGGATCAGGATCAGACCAGAACCAGGAACAGACCAGGATCAGACCAGGACCAGGACCAGACCAGGATCAGACCAGGACCAGACCAGGACCAGACCAGGACCAGACCAGGACCAGACCAGGATCAGACCAGAACCAGGATCAGGACCAGGACCAGGACCAGGATCAGGATCAGGATCAGGACCAGGACCAGAACCAGGACCAGGACCAGACCAGGATCAGACCAAGACCAGGACCAGACCAAGAGCAGACCAGGACCAGGACCAGACCAGGACTAGACCAGGACCAGACCAAGAGCAGACCAGGACCAGGACCAGACCGGGACCAGACCAGGACCAGACCAGGACCAGGACCAGGATCAGGCCAGGATCAGACCAGGACCAGACCAGACCAGAGTCAGAGCTGGAGATGGAAGCCGTTCACAAAACCAGATGTTGTTGAGTCAGCGACAGCACGACTGAGAAAACGGTTCAAACCCAGTCCACATAAACCAAACCCAGTCAAGGGTCAGAGTAGAGTTTGCATGTTCTCCCCCATGCCTGCATAGGTTTTCTCCTGGTGCTCCGGTTTTCTCCACATACTCAAGTTTCCTCCAGGTGCTCCAGTTTCCTCCTAGTTCTCCAATTTCCTCCTGGTGCTCTGGTTTCCTCCTGCCGCTGCAATTTCCTCCTGGTGCTCCGGTTTCCTCCTGCCGCAGCTGCAATTTCCTCCTGGTGCTCCGGTTTTCCCCATGTGCTCCGGTTTCCTCCAGGTACTCCGGTGTCACCTATCACTGAGAACATGTACAATTACTCCCCTCTCTCTGGACTCCCCTGAAAATGCAAATCTCAGAGCCACTTTAATGTTTACTAAAAGGTATAAGTAAATAATATTTTTTTTGGTTCTATTATGTAAAGAAAAACATGTGTAAACAAATAATATACAAGAGACAAATGTAAAATTTTGTTGATTGTTAATGTACAAACTGCGGAATGAGTCGATAAAAATGAAAAAAAAATAAAAAGATTTCTTTTTGGACTGAAAATGTGATTTAAAAAAGACATTATCCACTCTCTCTCTGGCCTCTCACTGGTCTCTCTCTGGTCTCTCTCTGGTCTCTCTCTGGTCTCTCTCTCTGGTCTCTCTCTGGTCTCTCTCTGGTCTCTCTCTGGTCTCTCTCTAGTCTCTCTCTCTGGTCTCTCTCTGGTCTCTCTCTGGTCTCTCTCTGGTCTCTCTCTAGTCTGGTCTGGGTCTGAGTCTGGGTCTGGGTTCACCTGCAGAGCCACAGAGAGAGCGGTGAGTCCAGGACCAGGTAAACAGATCCGGGCCCAGAGAGTAATCTGGAGGGTTCAGCGGGTTTCAGGGAAGAGAAGACAAAACAGGCTTTGAGCGAGAGCCGAGCGCGATCAGACGATAAACGCAGTGATGTAAGAGGGACACGGGAGAGGGCCGTGCACCTGGAGAGGGCCGTGCACCTGGAGAGGGCCGTGCACGTGGAGGGGGCCGTGCACCTGGAGAGGGCCGTGCACGTGGAGGGGGCCGTGCACGTGGAGAGGGCCGTGCACCTGGAGAGGGCCGTGCACGTGGGGGGGCCGTGCACCTGGAGAGGGCCGTGCACGTGGAGGGGGCCGTGCACCTGGAGGGGGCCGTGCACGTGGAGAGGGCCGTGCACCTGGAGAGGGCCGTGCACGTGGAGAGGGCCGTGCACGTGGAGGGGGCCGTGCACCTGGAGGGGGCCGTGCACGTGGAGAGGGCCGTGCACGTGGAGGGAGCCGTGCACGTGGAGGGGGCCGTGCACCTGGAGAGGGCCGTGCACGTGGAGGGGGCCGTGCACGTGGAGAGGGCCGTGCACCTGGAGAGGGCCGTGCACGTGGAGAGGGCCGTGCACGTGGAGAGGGCCGTGCACGTGGAGGGGGCCGTGCACGTGGAGGGGGCCGTGCACCTGGAGAGGGCCGTGCACCTGGAGAGGGCCGTGCACCTGGAGGGGGCCGTGCACGTGGAGGGGGCCGTGCACGTGGAGAGGGCCGTGCACCTAGATAGGGCCGTGCACGTGGAGAGGGCCGTGCACCTGGAGAGGGCCGTGCACGTGGAGGGGGCCGTGCACGTGGAGGGGGCCGTGCACGTGGAGAGGGCCGTGCACGTGGAGAGGGCCGTGCACGTGGAGAGGGCCGTGCACCTGGAGAGGGCCGTGCACGTGGAGGGGGCCGTGCACGTGGAGGGGGCCGTGCACGTGGAGAGGGCCGTGCACGTGGAGAGGGCCGTGCACCTGGAGAGGGCCGTGCACGTGGGGGGCCGTGCACGTGGAGGGGGCCGTGCACGTGGAGGAGGGCCGTGCACCTGGAGAGGGCCGTGCACCTGGAGAGGGCCGTGCACGTGGAGGGGGCCGTGCACCTGGAGGGGGCCGTGCACGTGGAGAGGGCCGTGCACCTGGAGAGGGCCGTGCACCTGGAGAGGGCCGTGCACCTGGAGAGGGCCGTGCACGTGGAGGGGGCCGTGCACGTGGAGAGGGCCGTGCACCTGGAGAGGGCCGTGCACGTGGAGGGGGCCGTGCACGTGGAGAGGGCCGTGCACGTGGAGAGGGCCGTGCACGTGGAGAGGGCCGTGCACGTGGAGAGGGCCGTGCACCTGGAGAGGGCCGTGCACGTGGAGGGGGCCGTGCACCTGGAGGGGGCCATGCACGTGGAGAGGGCCGTGCACCTGGAGAGGGCCGTGCACCTGGAGAGGGCCGTGCACCTGGAGAGGGCCGTGCACGTGGAGGGGGCCGTGCACGTGGAGAGGGCCGTGCACCTGGAGAGGGCCGTGCACGTGGAGGGGGCCGTGCACGTGGAGAGGGCCGTGCACCTGGAGAGGGCCGTGCACCTGGAGAGGGCCGTGCACCTGGAGAGGGCCGTGCACGTGGAGGGGGCCGTGCACGTGGAGAGGGCCGTGCACCTGGAGAGGGCCGTGCACGTGGAGGGGGCCGTGCACGTGGAGAGGGCCGTGCACGTGGAGAGGGCCGTGCACGTGGAGAGGGCCGTGCACGTGGAGAGGGGCCGTGCACGTGGAGAGGGCCGTGCACCTGGAGAGGGCCGTGCACGTGGAGGGGGCCGTGCACCTGGAGGGGGCCGTGCACGTGGAGAGGGCCGTGCACCTGGAGAGGGCCGTGCACCTGGAGAGGGCCGTGCACGTGGAGGGGGCCGTGCACGTGGAGAGGGCCGTGCACCTGGAGAGGGCCGTGCACGTGGAGGGGGCCGTGCACGTGGAGAGGGCCGTGCACGTGGAGAGGGCCGTGCACGTGGAGAGGGCCGTGCACGTGGAGAGGGCTTTCAGAGTCCGGGGCTAGGGTTTCGTTTGTCATACACCTCCTCACAGCAGCAGCAGATCAGGGGTCTCCAACCTTTTTCAATCAGAGAGCTACTTTTATACAAACGAATAGGCAGAGAGCTACCACCTTTTGTAGTCGTTATAATAATCTATTTAATAATTACTACAAAAGGCAAGGCAAGTTTATTCATATAGCACAATTTCATACTCAAGGCAACTCAAAGTGACAAAACAAAATAATACAGCGTTAAAATCATAAAAAATCACAGAACATTAAAAGGAAAGATAAAAATATAAAATCCCTCAGCTGTCTTTAACCTGGTTTTAAACATTGTCAGAGAGGAGGCCTGTCTCACATCTTCAGAAAGACTGTTCCAGATTTTAAAACTTGGAAAGCACAAGTAAAATATACCATAATACTGTATAACCATTTAGTCATACTTTTAATAGAAAATGTATTCATTCAAGATCAATTAAATTCTATATCTTTTGGCGAGCTACCTGAAAGGGGCTGGCGAGCTACCTGAAAGGGGCTGGCGGGCTACCTGAAAGGGGCTGGCGAGCTACCTGAAAGGGGCTGGCGGGCTACCTGAAAGGGGCTGGTGGGCTACCTGAAAGGGGCTGGCGGGCTACCTGAAAGGGGCTGGCGAGCTACCTGAAAGGGGCTGGCGAGCTACCTGAAAGGGGCTGGTGAGCTACCTGAAAGGGGCTGGCGAGCTACCTGAAAGGGGCTGGCGGGCTACCTGAAAGGGGCTGGCGGGCTACCTGAAAGGGGCTGGCGAGCTACCTGAAAGGGGCTGGCGGGCTACCTGAAAGGGGCTGGTGGGCTGGCGGGCTACCTGAAAGGGGCTGGCGGGCTACCTGAAAGGGGCTGGTGGGCTGGCGGGCTACCTGAAAGGGGCTGGCGGGCTACCTGAAAGGGGCTGGCGGGCTACCTGAAAGGGGCTGGCGAGCTACCTGAAAGGGGCTGGCGGGCTACCTGAAAGGGGCTGGCGAGCTACCTGAAAGGGGCTGGCGGGCTACCTGAAAGGGGCTGGTGGGCTGGCGGGCTACCTGAAAGGGGCTGGCGGGCTACCTGAAAGGGGCTGGTGGGCTGGCGGGCTACCGGAAAGGGGCTGGCGGGCTACCTGAAAGGGGCTGGCGGGCTACCTGAAAGGGGCTGGCGGGCTACCTGAAAGGGGCTGGCGAGCTACCTGAAAGGGGCTGGCGGGCTACCTGAAAGGGGCTGGCGGGCTACCTGAAAGGGGCTGGCGAGCTACCTGAAAGGGGCTGGCGGGCTACCTGAAAGGGGCTGGTGGGCTGGCGGGCTACCTGAAAGGGGCTGGCGGGCTACCTGAAAGGGGCTGGTGGGCTGGCGGGCTACCTGAAAGGGGCTGGCGGGCTACCTGAAAGGGGCTGGCGGGCTACCTGAAAGGGGCTGGCGAGCTACCTGAAAGGGGCTGGCGGGCTACCTGAAAGGGGCTGGCGGGCTACCTGAAAGGGGCTGGCGGGCTACCTGAAAGGGGCTGGCGAGCTACCTGAAAGGGGCTGGCGGGCTACCTGAAAGGGGCTGGCGGGCTACCTGAAAGGGGCTGGCGAGCTACCTGAAAGGGGCTGGCGGGCTACCTGAAAGGGGCTGGTGGGCTGGCGGGCTACCTGAAAGGGGCTGGCGAGCTACCTGAAAGGGGCTGGCGGGCTGGCGGGCTACCTGAAAGGGGCTTGCGGGCTGGCGGGCTACCTGAAAGGGGCTGGCGGGCTACCTGAAAGGGTGATTTTGGCTTCTTTTTAAGCCTGAAAGCAGAGGACCCTCAGAGAGCGCCCTCTGCTGTATTTTCTCCACCAGTCATTTTTTAATACTTAATACACGCTCCTCACGCAGCAGTAGAACGCTCCATTTATATGAATGTAGTTTCAAAATGTTCTACCGATCATAGTTTCTTGATAACCGACCTCTCAAAACACTTATGACCGCTGCCCTTTGGCAACGCACCCTCTGCTTGCGGAGTGTAGATTACTCCGCAAGTATCCGTACTACTGTCTGTGTGAGAGAAGCTATAGGAGCTAGCTACGCTCAAAAACATGAATATCAATCAATCAACACATTTAAATGTTAATGGCAGAATAAGTTATACAAATACATTCTTAAAACACGTGCACGGACGTTTTCAGAAGTATCTGGTAACGGTTTCATGACAAAAATACTGTTTTATTACGACAAAAAGCGATCGCTGAAAACCCGGAAGTAACCATTAACACGATACATTATCCCTTACATATATAATAATAATAATAATAATAATAATAATAATAATAATGGTTAAAACCCAGCTCTGGAAAAGGAGTCGTTTTAATACAGGAATGTAAATGATAAGATGACAGAAAGCAAAGGACTAAACACAAGAACAGAAGGGGCTAAATCAAGGCTAAAAAACCCAGACTAAAGATCAAACATTTACACAGAGACTAAACTGATCCTTCTTCTGTCTCAACAAGTGACAACTATAATGAGACCAAATAAAAGTGGCTCAGCATCGGCCTTGAGCCGGAAGGTCATGGGTTCGAGCTCACTGCCACTCCACCGACTCCACTGATATCTGCTGTAGTTGTGTCCTTGGGCAAGACACTCAACGCACTTTGTCTATAATGAGTCCGCAGCATGCCTTGTATATACGTGTTGATCAATCTGACATATCCCCACTGTGGGACCAATAAAGAACCTTTTTCTTGTGTTATAGTAGTTTTAGTTAATATCCTCACATCCAAGCACCGCCATTGCTCTCCCCTCAGTCCTCCGACTCCCTGATTTTAAACTTACTTTCTGTTGCAATTTTGAAATGTGGAGGATTCACTTTTTTGTTCGAAAACTAAACATTGCAACTTGGACCTGGTGTTTTAGAGCCTTCACTTCTACTCCTGATCCTGGTCCTGATCCTGGTCCTGGTCCTGGTCCTGGTCCTGGTCCTGGTCCTGGTCCTGGTCCTGGTCCAGACCGATCTGCTGACGACAGTGTACCGTAAATTGAAAGTGACATATCCTCCACCAAAATGCAATTAGCTCCAGAGTTTGTTATCTTATTATTTTCTCATAATATAATCTCCTCTCTCTCTCTTCTGTCTTTGCTCTTACCCCTCCCTTCTCCACTCTCTCTTTTCTTCCCTCTCCCCTCTCTCTTGTCCCCTCTCTCCTCTCCCCTCTCTCCTCTCTCTCCTCTCTCCTCTCCCCTCTCTCCTCTCTCTCCTCTCCGTCCTCTCCCCTCTCTCCTCTCTCTCTCCTCTCTCCTCTCCCCTCTCTCACTCTCTCTCCTCTCCGTCCTCTCCCCTCTCTCCTCTCTCTCCTCTCTCCTCTCCCCTCTCCTCCCTCTCTCTCCTCTCTCTCTCTCCCCTCTCTCCTCTCCTCTCTCTCCTCTCCCCTCTCTCCTCTCTCTCCTCTCCCCTCTCTCCTCCTCTCTCCTCTCTCCTCTCCTCTCTCTCCTCTCCCCTCTCCTCTCTCTCCTCTCCCCTCTCTCCTCTCTCTCCTCTCCCCTCTCTCCTCTCTCTCTCTCCTCTCCCCTCTCTCCTCTCTCTCCTCTCCCCCTCTCTCCTCTCTCTTCTCTCTCCTCTCTCCTCTCCCCCTCTCCTCTCTCTCCTCTCCCCTCTCTCCTCTCTCTCCTCTCTCCTCTATCCTCTCTCCTCTCCTCTCTCTCCTCTCCCCTCTCCTCTCTCTCCTCTCCCCTCTCTCCTCTCTCTCCTCTCCCCTCTCTCCTCTCCTCTCTCTCCTCTCCCCTCTCTCCTCTCTCTCCTCTCTCCTCTCTCCTCTCTCTCCTCTCTCTCCTCTCCGCTCTCCTCTCTCTCCTCTCCCCTCTCTCCTCTCCTCTCTCTCCTCTCTCTCCTCTCTCTCCCCTCTCTCCTCTCTCTTCTCTCTCTCTCCTCTCTCCTCTCTCTCCTCTCATCCTCTCTCTCCTCTCCCCTCTCTCCTCTCTCTCCTCCCCTCTCCTCTCTCCCCTCTCTCCTCTCTCTCCCTCTTTCCTCTCCTCTCTCTCTCCTCTCCCTCTCTCCTCTCTCTCCTTTTCCCCTCCTCTCTCCCCCTCTCTCCTCTCTCTCCTCTCCCCTCTCTCCTCTCTCCTCTCCTCTCTCTCCTCTCTCTTCTCTCTCCTCTCCTCTCTCACTCCTCTCCTCTCTCTCCTCACCCCTCTCTCCTCTCTCTCCTCTCCCCTCTCTCCTCTCTCTCCTCTCCTCTCTCTCCTCTCCTCTCTCCTCTCCCCTCTCTCCTCTCTCTCCTCTCCCCTCTCTCCTCTCTCTTCTCTCTCCTCTCCCCTCTCTCCTCTCTCTCCTCTCCCCTCTCTCCTCTCTCTTCTCTCTCCTCTCCCTCTCCCCCTCTCTCCTCTCCTCTCTCTCCTCTCCCCTCTCTCCTCTCTCTCCTCTTTCCTCTCTCCTCTCTCCTCTTTCCTCTCTCTCCTCTCTCCTCTCTCTTCTCTCTCCTCTCCTCTCTCTCCTCTCCTCTCTCTCCTCTCCCCTCTCTCCTCTCTCTCCTCTCCCCTCTCTCCTCTCTCTCCTCTCCTCTCTCTCCTCTCCTCTCTCTCCTCTCCCCTCTCTCCTCTCTCTCCTCTCCCCTCTCTCCTCTCTCTTCTCTCTCCTCTCCCCTCTCTCCTCTCTCTCCTCTCCCCTCTCTCCTCTCCTCTCTCTCCTCTCTCTCTCTCTCCTCTCCCCTCTCTCCTCTCTCTCCTCTTTCCTCTCTCCTCTCTCCTCTTTCCTCTCTCTCCTCTCTCCTCTCTCTTCTCTCTCCTCTCCTCTCTCTCCTCTCCTCTCTCTCCTCTCCCCTCTCTCCTCTCTCTCCTCTCCCCTCTCTCCTCTCCTCTCTCTCCTCTCCCCTCTCTCCTCTCTCCTCTCTCTCCTCTCTCCTCTCTCTTCTCTCTCCTCTCCTCTCTCTCCTCTCCTCTCTCTCCTCTCCCCTCTCTCCTCTCTCTCCTCTCCCCTCTCTCCTCTCTCTTCTCTCTCCTCTCCCCTCTCTCCTCTCTCTCCTCTCCCCTCTCTCCTCTCTCTCCTTTTCCCCTCCTCTCTCCCCTCTCTCCTCTCTCTCCTCTCCCCTCTCTCCTCTCTCCTCTCCTCTCTCTCCTCTCTCTTCTCTCTCCTCTCCTCTCTCTCTCTCTCCTCTCTCTCCTCTCCCCTCTCTCCTCTCTCTCCTCTCCCCTCTCTCCTCTCTCTTCTCTCTCCTCTCCCCTCTCTCCTCTCTCTCCTCTCCCCTCTCTCCTCTCTCTTCTCTCTCCTCTCCCCTCTCTCCTCTCCTCTCTCTCCTCTCCTCTCTCTCCTCTCCCCTCTCACCTCTCTCTCCTCTTTCCTCTCTCCTCTCTCCTCTTTCCTCTCCTCTCTCTCCTCTTTCCCCTCCCCTCTTTCCTCTCCCCCCTATCTCCTCTTTCCTCTCCCCTCTCACCCCTCCCTCCTCTCTGAAAGCGCCGGAAGACATAAATGAACAATGGACGTGTGATGGATTGATCAAAGCTCCGCTGTTTCAGCATGGCCTCCTCTTTGATGTGGCGTCTCTGTGTCAGACCTGCCAAATGGTGAAAGTGCCCATGGTAAAAGTGCCCATGGTGAAAGTGCCCATGGTGAAAGTGCCCATGGTGAAAGTGCCCATGGTGAAAGTGCCCATGGTGAAAGTGCCCATGGTAAAAAGTGCCCCATGGTGAAAGTGCCCATGGTGAAAGTGCCCATGGTGAAAGTGCCCATGGTGAAAGTGCCCATGGTAAAAGTGCCCATGGTGAAAGTGCCCATGGTAAAAGTGCCCATGGTGAAAGTGCCCATGGTGAAAGTGCCCATGGTGAAAGTGCCCATGGTGAAAGTGCCCATGGTTAAAGTGCCCATGGTGAAAGTGCCCATGGTGAAAGTGCCCATGGTGAAAGTGCCCATGGTGAAAGTGCCCATGGTAAAAGTGCCCATGGTGAAAGTGCCCATGGTAAAAGTGCCCATGGTGAAAGTGCCCATGGTAAAAGTGCCCATGGTGAAAGTGCCCATGGTAAAAGTGCCCATGGTGAAAGTGCCCATGGTGAAAGTGCCCATGGTGAAAGTGCCCATGGTGAAAGTGCCCAATGGTGAAAGTGCCCATGGTAAAAGTGCCCATGGTGAAAGTGCCCATGGTGAAAGTGCCCATGGTGAAAGTGCCCATGGTGAAAGTGCCCATGGTGAAAGTGCCCATGGTGAAAGTGCCCATGGTGAAAGTGCCCATGGTGAAAGTGCCCATGGTGAAAGTGCCCATGGTAAAAGTGCCCATGGTAAAAGTGCCCATGGTGAAAGTGCCCATGGTGAAAGTGCCCATGGTGAAAGTGCCCATGGTAAAAGTGCTGATGCAGGCGCTGGGAGAGCTCTGGGCTGCAGTGGGAGATGAGCCGAGCCCCGGAGGCTGCGTGGCTCTGTAATCCACTTAATTCACAATTACAACACAGGAGCGGAGCCGAGCTGAATGATAAACGCAGACAGTAATCCCACAGATCGACCGGCGGAGTCCGTGATCCACCGAGAGGCTGCTGCACTGGATACTGTACATGAAACCTCCCAGGAAATCACCAGGATACAGACACCTACACTATTTACACTATGGCAGCATCCAAATAACACACTAGATTTACACTATGGCAGCATCCAAATAACACACTAGATTTACACTATGGCAGCATCCAAATAACACACTAGATTTACACTATGGCAGCATCCAAATAACACACTAGATTTACACTATGGCAGCATCCAAATAACACACTAGATTTACACTATGGCAGCATCCAAATAACACACTAGATTTACACTATGGCAGCATCCAAATAACACACTAGATTTACACTATGGCAGCATCCAAATAAGAACCAGAGCAAGTATCTATGGCTTTATGCAAGTGAAACTATAGAAATAAGAATATTCAAAAAAATCAATTCACTTCTGTAACTAAACTTGCAACATAAAACTGGTATAAGACAGACCTGTTAAAGGAGCAGTATGTAAAAACCTCTCCCACTCTCCCTGACTCAGGTTGCCAGATATGCAGAAGAATCCAGCTGGGACCATAACAGGTGAATAGACAAGAGTTTTGTCAACAACAAATCTATAACCAACACAATCAACAGGACGGACAGGACAAAAGCACAAATATATATACAAATGTGTCCAGATAAACTAACAGATCGTCAGCACCATGACGTTAGCAGAAAATCTGACTGTGTTTTGATAATTTTGATACAATAATTTTCAATATTTGTCGAGTGTCTTACCATGTGTAAACTCTGGTCCATGGTCATCTCCTACATGTACGTCTGGTCTTACCATGTGTAAACTCTGGTCCATGGTCATCTCCTACATGTACGTCTGGTCTTACCATGTGTAAACTCTGGTCCATGGTCATTTCCTACATGTACGTCTGGTCTTACCATGTGTAAACTCTGGTCCATGGTCATTTCCTACATGTACGTCTGGTCTTACCATGTGTAAACTCTGGTCCATGGTCATCTCCTACATGTACGTCTGGTCTTACCATGTGTAAACTCTGGTCCATGATCATCTCCTACATGTACGTCTGGTCTTACCATGTGTAAACTCTGGTCCATGATCATTTCCTACATGTACGTCTGGTCTTACCATGTGTAAACTCTGGTCCATGATCTTTTCCTACATGTACGTCTGGGTCTGATCCTAGTGGCTGCAGTTTCCTCGGGTGAATCTCCTCCGACCAATCAGAGAGCGGGGGAGGCGGGTGTTGTAGGTTTCTGCTGAATTTTCTGGTTGTAGTTTGTCGGAGAATGTGATAGTAAAATAATCTTTTCTGGTTCAATCCAAATATCAAGAAACTGAAGCCGGAGCAAGAGGAATGTTTAGTGACAAAGCAGATGGCTAAAGCTAGGCTAAAGGCTAAATGTTAACAACAGACTCGGGCTCATTACATACGTGACAGTAAACTCAGATCTTATCGTTTCAATCTGTAAAAGGAGTTAACCCCTTCCACCTGTTAACGGGTCAATGGAGCAAATCAAGACCATAGTACAAATGTATTTTGTACTATGGTATGGTACGACCAGGCTAAGACGTTACATGCAGGGAATGATAATTGAGCAAAGTGTACGGATCGATAAGGTCAGGCTAGAGCCGACTACACGCACTGTAAAACTCGACTAAAGGCTTTCGTGATCTTTAAAAATGATCTTTAAAACATTTCTCAATCTTCAGCATCATCTTTTTCACGTCAACACTTTTCATGACACAACACTTCTTCTTCTTCTTCTTCTTCTTCTTCTTCTTCTTCTTCTTCTTCTTCTGCTTCTGCTTCTTCTTCTTCTTCTTCTTCTTCTTCTTCTTCTTCTTCTTCTTCTTCTTCTTCTTCTTCTTCTTCTTCTTCTTCTTCTTCTTCTTCTTCTTCTGGCTTCAGTGCGTCAGGTCTGCCCCAAACTTTAAATCCAGCGTGGACGGACTGCGGTCGAATACCAATGAACCGGAGTGGAGGGGATTTCTCTTTTAATGAGGACAAAACCTTTCCCCAAGTCTTACCAGCAACGCTTGGCTGGCTCCTGTCTGCGCCGCACACTTACCAGCCGAGATCCAGAAACCATCAACAAAATTGTCCCAACTTTCTATGGTTTTGCTGGTTTTAGCCCAATCTGCCCATTCATCTCAAAGTCAGATCAATCTTAAAGTGAAAAGTGTTTGATTGTCTATAGTTTTACACCAAACAGGAAGTAACTTGTGAAGAAAAGTGTTTTGAAAAAGGCTGGAAGTGAAACCAGGAAGACCACACAACGGCATCTTTCACGGATATTGTGTGTGTGTTTTTAGAGTGTGTTTGTTGTGAAGAGAAGAATACATGTGTGGTTCTGTCTTTAGTTCAGAGGTCTTCCATAGCCCTGAGTCTTGCTTTCCCTCTGGTCTCTCTCTGTTCTATCTCTGGTCTCTCTCTGGCCTCTATGGTGTCTCTCTGGTCTCTCTCTCTGGTCTCTCTCTGGTCTCTCTCTGGTTTATCTCTGGTCTCTCTCTGGCCTCTATGGTGTCTCTCTGGTCTCTCTCTGGTCTCTCTCTGGTCTCTCTCTCTGGTCTCTCCCTGGTCTCTCTCTGGTCTCTCTCTGTTCTATCTCTGGTCTCTCTCTGGCCTCTATGGTCTCTCTCTGGTCTCTCTCTGGTCTCTCTCTGGTCTCTCTCTGGTCTCTCTCTGGTCTCTCTCTCTGGTCTCTCTCTGGTCTCTCTCTGGTCTCTCTCTGGTCTCTCCCTGGTCTCTCCCTGGTCTCTCTCTGGTCTCTCTCTGGTCTCTCTCTCTGGTCTCTCCCTGGTCTCTCTCTGGTCTCTCTCTGTTCTATCTCTGGTCTCTCTCTGGCCTCTATGGTCTCTCTCTGGTCTCTCTCTGGTCTCTCTCTGGTCTCTCTCTGGTCTCTCTCTCTGGTCTCTCTCTGGTCTCTCTCTGGTCTCTCTCTGGTCTCTCTCTCTGGTCTCTCTCTGGTCTCTCTCTGGTCTCTCTCTGGTCTCTCCCTGGTCTCTCCCTGGTCTCTCTCTGGTCTCTCTCTGGTCTCCTGCCTGGTCTCTCTCTGGTCTCTCTCTGGTCTCTCCCTGGTCTCTCTCTGGTCTCTCTCTGGTCTCTCTCTGGTCTCTCTCTGGTCTCTCCCTGGTCTCTCCCTGGTCTCTCTCTGGTCTCTCTCTGGTCTCTCTCTGGTCTCTCTCTGGTCTCTCTCTGGCCTCTCTCTGGCCTCTCTCTGGTCTCTCTCTGGTCTCTCTCTGGTCTCTCTCTGGTCTCTCTCTGGTTTATCTCTGGTCTCTCTCTGGCCTCTATGGTGTCTCTCTGGTCTCTCTCTGGTCTCTCTCTGGCCTCTCTCTGGTCTCTCCCTGGTCTCTCCCTGGTCTCCCTCTGGTCTCTCTCTGGCCTCTCTCTGGTCTCTCTCTGGTCTCTCTCTGGTCTCTCCCTGGTCTCTCTCTGGTCTCTCCCTGGTCTCTCTCTGGTCTCTCCCTGGTCTCTCCCTGGTCTCTCCCTGGTCTCTCTCTGGTCTCTCTCTGGTCTCTCTCTGGTCTCTCTCTGGTCTCTTTTTCACTTTTTCATCAATGACTGACAACTTTTTATTTTTTTATTGTTTATTACACACAAGATTAGATGCATTTACAGTTGTTGACAGCAAGAACAGTCTGTGTGTCCACTTCCACCCCCCTCCCACTTCCACCCCCCTCCCACTTCCACCCTCTTCCCACTTCCACCCCCTCCCACTTCCACCCCCCTCCCACTTCCACCCTCTTCCCACTTCCACCCCCTTCCCACTTCCACCCCCTTCCCACGTCCACCCCCTTCCCACTTCCACCCCCCTCCCACTTCCACCCCCTTCCCACTTCCACCCCCCTCCCACTTCCACCCCCCTCCCACTGCCACCCCCTTCCCACTTCCATCCACCCCCCTCCCACTGCCACCCCCTTCCCACTTCCACCCCCCTCCCACTGCCACCCCCTTCCCACTTCCACCCCCCTCCCTCCCAAATTCGTCTCCAGGTTGACAGTGTATCTCATAGAATTATGTTTAGCTATGTATAAAGGGTAAATAAGTAGATATGTTCATAAAAAGGGAAAAATAAATACAAGTAAAGAAAAATAAAAATATAAAATAAAAATAAAAAATAAAATAAAATAATTACAAAAAATAAATGAAAAAGTAAGAATAAAAATAAAAATAAAGAGGGCACCTGCATGTATACATATACGTTGGTACACATGTACATTCAGAACACACCTTCAGTCCTTCATACATATTAGCACCTGACCAATACTTTTATTATATGATTTAGAAAGCCCTTAACCAGCTCCTGTAAAGTCAATAAAATGTGGCCATATTTGAAGGAAGAGGTCTTGCTGTTGGTGTGGCCTAAAGGATCACTTTTTCGTAGCTTGCAGTTTGTATCATCCGTTCCAGTCATTTGTCGAAGGATGAAGGAATTGTGGATTTCCAGTCTCGGGTTATAATCCGACATCCTGTGATCAGAGCGACGCTGCACCATTGCAACTGTTCAGAGGACAGTAGATCTGCAGGAACCAGTCCGAGCAGGCATGGTTCAGGTTTGTTGACCAGTTTGACTTTAAACAGATTGTTGAAAAGGTTAATAATATTTTCCCATAAGCCTAAAACATTATCGTATTCATAAAGCATGTGAATCAGAGTTCCGTTACATTTCTTGCACCGCCAGCATTTATTATCATCAATTAAATTTAACCGAGCCATTCTGCTGGGAGTCCGATAACGTCTGTTTACGATTTTGTACTTTATCAATAGAGTTTGAGTTTCACGGGATGCCAGTTAGTGATAACAGTTTGCCATTGCTCTTGCTCTATAGGAGCCTCTACGTCCACCTCAGCATTCATTCTCACTTGCTCAACTCTCGAAATGTAACCTGCCCATAAATAAATATCCAGCATGGGTAAATATTGAAAATGAAATATTGCAACCTTTTAAAACTGGCACTTTTGTTTCGCAATCTGGTAGATCTACACCGGAAATACCTGCAGCTGAGACACTGCCTAGGGTTAGGGTTAGGGTCAACACTTATTAAAGACTGCTTCTTTCAAAAAAGGTGCTCCATCAGCTTTCTATCGTATTCTTAGAAATGCTAAAGCACCCAACCTCAGTAGCTTGAAAAATATATTGAACTTTTGATAATATTGTCACTGTTTGAGTTTCTCTGTAGAGGGAGATTTGGAACATGTCGTCATGGAAACCTGGTCAAAGGCCACACTTATGCTTAGACCTCAGATCAAGGTAGCAATCAGTGGATATTTTGTGGACAAAGTTAAAACAGTGGCTGTGGTCAGAGGTGGGAGCGATGGCGTCATGGTTTCACAAAGATTATACAAATGACTCAAGCAGACATGACTCTCTCTGGTCCTTTTCTGGTCTCTCTCTGGTCTCTCTCTGGTCTCCATCTCTAGTCTCTCTCTCTCTGGTCTCTCTCTGGTCTCCATCTCTAGTCTCTCTCTCTCTGGTCTCTCTCTGGTCTCCATCTCTAGACTCTCTCTTGTCTATCTCTGGTCTCCCTCTGCTCTCCCTCTGCTCTCTCTCTGCTCTCTCTCTGGTCTCTCTCTCTGGTCTCTGTCTCTCTCTGGTCTCTCTCTGGTCTCTCTCTGGTCTCTCTCTCTGGTCTCTCTCTGGTCTCTCTCTGGTCTCTCTCTGGTCTCTCTCTGGTCTCTCTCTGGTTTCTCTCTGGTCTCTCTCTGGTCTCTCTCTGGTTTCTCTATGGTCTCTCTCTGGTCTCTCTCTGGTCTCTCTCTGGTCTCTCTCTGGTCTCTCTCTCTGGTCTCTCTCTGGTCTCTCTCTGGTTTCTCTCTGGTCTCTCTCTGGTCTCTCTCTGGTTTCTCTATGGTCTCTCTCTGGTCTCCCTCTGCTCTCTCTCTGGTCTCTCTCTGGTCTCTCTCTCTGGTCTCTGTCTCTCTCTGGTCTCTCTCTGGTCTCTCTCTGGTCTCTCTCTCTGGTCTCTCTCTGGTCTCTCTCTGGTCTCTCTCTGGTCTCTCTCTGGTTTCTCTCTGGTCTCTCTCTCTGGTCTCTCTCTGGTCTCTCTCTGGTCTCTCTCTGGTCTCTGGTCTCTCTCTGGTCTCTCTCTGGTCTCTCTCTGGTTTCTCTCTGGTCTCTCTCTGGTTTGCAAGGTGACTTTGAATAAACGATGAGCCCCAGATCCCGGGACGTTCTTCGCTCGGCGGGAAAAGCAGAGTCTGAAAGACAGTCCAAGGCCGCGGCGTGAGGCTGCAGTGGCCTGAGGTCCTCGCTGACTCCCCCTCACTCTGATCCCAGACCGTCTGTCCGTCCACCGCAGAACACCAACGCCACCATTAATTCACCGCCGCTGGCGACGAACAGGACCAGACCAGACCAGACCAGACCAGACCAGACCAGAGCCTCATCACAGTCAGAGGAAAAAACTATAAATACAATTTGTTCTATATTTTTAGTTTATTATTATTTTGTTCATTTTTTCTTTATTATTATTTATTTTAAATTTATGTTTCTTTTCTTTTTTTCTTTTATTAATTTATTCATGTTCATTTTTAATTTATTTATTATGTATTCCTCCCCCCCTGGACTGCCACCTTAACGTGGTGGGGGAGTTTGAGTACTCGGATGATCCTGGGAGCTATGCTGTCTGGGGGCTTCATGCCCCTGGTAGGGCCTCCCATGGCAGACAGGTCTCAGGTGACGAGTCAGACGAAGAGTGGTCCAAAAACCACCATGGACAGCACAATAAATAGACCAGTGACGTCGCCCGGCATGGCGCAGCCGGGGCCCCACCCTGGAGCCAGGCCTGGGGTCGGGGCTCGTATGCGAGCGCCTGGTGGCCGGGCCTTAGCCCACGGGGCCCGGCCGGGCTCAGCCCGAAGGGATGACGTGGGCAGTCCCTCCTGTGGGCCCACCACCTGCAGAGGGGTCCGTGGTGGCGCGGTGCTGAGAGGACTGGGCGGCAGTCGAAGGCGGAGACCTCGGCGACCCAGTCCGCACACACAACATCTGGCTCTTGGGACGTGGAACGTCACCTCACTGGGGGGGAAGGAGCCCGAGCTTGTGGGGGAGGTTGAGCGATACCGACTAGAGATAGTCGGCCTCACCTCCACACACAGCTTGGGCTCTGGAACCCAACTCCTTGAGAGGGGTTGGACGCTCCACTTTTCTGGAGATTCCCGCGGGGAGAGGCGGCGAGCTGGGGTGGCCATTCTCATTGCCCCCCATCTCAGCCGCCACGTGTTGGAGTTCTCCCCGGTGAATGAGAGGGTCGCGTCCCTCCGCCTCCGGGTGGGGGACAAGTCTCTCATTGTTGTGACGGCCTACGGGCCTAACAGCAGTGCAGAGTACCCGGCCTTCTTGGAGTCCTTGGGAGGGGTACTGGACGGTGCGCCGCCCGGGGACTCCGTTATTCTCCTGGGGGACTTCAACGCCCATGTGGGAAACGCCAGTGACACTTGGAGAGGGGTGATCGGGAAGAGCGGCCCCCCTGATCTGAACCCGAGCGGTGTTCAGTTGTTGGACTTCTGTGCTAGTCACAGTTTGTCCATCACGAACACCATGTTCGAGCACAAGGGTGTCCACCAGTGCACGTGGCACCAGGACACCCTAGGCCGGAGGTCGATGATCGACTTTGTTGTCGTATCATCTGACCTTCGACCGCGTGTCTCAAACACTCGGGTAAAGAGAGCGGCGGAGCTTTCAACCGATCACCACCTGGTTGTGAGTTGGATCCGCTGGCAGGGGAAGAAGCCGGTCAGACCTGGCAGACCCAAGCGTATAGTGAGGGTCTGCTGGGAACGTCTCGCTGAGCCCCCTGTCAGACGGACTTTCAACTCACACCTCCGGGAGAGTTTCTCCCAGGTCCAGGCAGAGGAGGGGGACATCGAGTCCGAGTGGACCATGTTCTCTGCCTCAATCGCCGATGCGGCGGCTCGTAGCTGTGGTCGCAAGGTCTCTGGTGCTGGTCCCGGCGGCAACCCCCGAACCCGGTGGTGGACACCGGCAGTAAGGGATGCTGTCAGGCTGAAGAAGGAGTCCTATCGAGCAATGATGGTTCGGGGGACTCCTGAGGCAGCTGTCCAGTACCGGCAGGCCAAGCGTGCCGCGGCCCGGGCTGTTACAGAGGCAAAAACCCGGGACTGGGAGGAGTTCGGAGAGTCCATGGAGCATGACTATCGGTCGGCCTCGAAGAGATTCTGGCAAACCATCCGGCACCTCAGGAGGGGGAAGCAGTTCTTTGCCAACACCATGTACGGTGCGGGTGGAGAGCTGCTGACCTCGACTGGGGATATTGTCGGGCGGTGGAAGGAATACTTTGAGGTTCTCCTCAATCCCCCCGTCACGTCCTCTGTTACAGAGGCAGAGGCTGAGGATGTTGGGGCAGATACATCCATCTCCCTGGCTGAGGTCACCAAGGTGGTTGGCAGCCTCCATGGTGGCAAGGCTCCGGGTGTGGATGAGATCCGCCCTGATTATCTAAAGTCTCTGGATGTTGTAGGACTGTCTTGGCTGACACGTCTCTGCAACATCGCGTGGCGATCGGGGGCGGTGCCAATGGAGTGGCAGACCGGGGTGGTGGTCCCTCTCTACAAGAAGGAGGACCGGAGGGTGTGTTCCAATTATCGTGGGATCACACTCCTCAGCCTCCCCGGTAAGGTCTACTCCAAGGTACTGGAGAGGAGGCTACGGCCGATGGTCGAATCTCGGATCCAGGAGGAGCAGTGTGGTTTTCGTCCCGGCCGTGGAACACTGGACCAGCTCTACACTCTCCATCGGATACTCGATTTGGATTTGGAGAAGGCGTTCGACTGTGTTCCCCGGGGTGTCCTTTGGGGGGTTCTCCGGGAGTACGGGGTCGGAGGTCCTCTGCTGAGGACCATCCGATCCCTGTTTGACCGGAGCCAGAGCTGTG